CAGACCCTGCAAACACTGCCACCACATGTCACCTAGGCTCCTGCCAGCCAGATGGTTTCAAGCCAGAAAACTCAGCTGTGACTTCCTCCCAGTGGGCTTTTTTTTCCCAGGTGAATGAAGGTGTGTGCGCTCCTGTATTTTCTCCTGACTCGACATATCTAATTCTCCGTGCGGGCGGGCGGCTGTGCCTTGGGGTAGCAAGGGAAAGAGGGAAAGGGTCTCCATTGCCCTCAATGCAAATGAAAGCAAGCCCAGATCTTGCGCTATGAGCTATGAGTTTTACACGGCTTTTTCACTTCAGTCTGCTTGAACCCATTTTTACAGATGAGTTAGCTGAGGTACAAAGAGATTGAAGCCCTGGTGACCCTATATCCCGGCTGTGCCGCATTCCCAGCGTTCTATGCGGTCTGTCCTCCCCGTCCTCTTCTTTTCCTCCTTCTCCTTCTTTCAGACAGTCTTAATTAAACAAATCCTAGTCCAGAGAGACGATTTTCAGGGATTGAGGGTGTGTGGTGCTCCTGTGGAGGACCTGTAACTCCAGCTTCTGTGGGATCTGCTGCCTCCCTGCCTGCACCAGCTCTGGTCCCTTCTCAGCCACATACACACAATTAAACAATAGTATTAAATCCCCCAGAAGAAGGACTCAAAACAAATTCTTTAAAAGTTTGCTGATTTTTCTATTTAACAGCTAAGAGGTCTTAATTTGCTAGTAGATCAGACTTTAAAGACTGTTCAACCAGATACTTTTTAAGTTCTGCTGTTCACGTCTCAGCTTTTGTTTTTAAGATCGCATCTCCTTTTTTGCTGTTCAGGCTGATCTAAAATTTGTGATCCTCTTGCTTCAGCCTCCTTAGAAGCAGAGTAGTGGGTTTGGAAAAAAGCATCTTTACACCGATGATAAGTTTTGTAAATGAAGTGATCAGTTTTTAAAAATTTGCATAAAACACCACTTGGCATTTTGTAAAGATCAAGTTATACTAAGGAATCTGACTCCAAAGTTCTGAGCAATAAACTTCATTTTCATAAAACGCATGCTGTTCCTAATTTGTTCTCTATGGGAGGGGCCGGGTAACAGACCTAGACTGACCTGGTGCTGGGCGCGGCTCTACTGCTTGGCCTCACCCCCAGTCTGCAGCATGGTCTATAGAGAGATGCTAAGGTTTCTATCTGAAAGTGATCACTGTTGCTGCACGGACAGGAAGGGTGCCAGTTTTAACGCTGGTCAGTATCAACAGCCAGCTGTGGTTCAAGTCTTAGAGCAGCCAGTTGGGGACTTGGGGAGGAAACCCAAGGCTTGACCTCTGAACTTGGTTTCTTGTTTGTTTTTGTAGTTCTCCCGAAGCCCCTAACAGGAGCATGATTTTCTTTTCTACCGGTGGCTTTTGGACAGTAGATTTTGTACTTGGCTTCTGCTGTAGTTTTTCTGTCTGCTCCCTTCTTGCTCGAACGTGACCGTGGAGGTGTCTGAAGCACATATCTCTGGTGCAGAGCCAGCTCGGGAACACCTGGCTCATTCCTCTCATTTCCTGTTGCTGCAGAGCTATGGCGAGGCCTCTGGGGTGGGGCTTTGCGCAGGGGCAAGTGCAGGGAACAGAGACGCATCAGACAACGTGCGGAATCAGAGGACGTGCTGATTCATCTGCAAACCCAGGACTAGAACAAGGCTGCAGAGACTGTGCCACCCAAGGGACACTGATGTGCTGTAAAACTGCCGAAGATTTCAACTATTGGTCCAGTCAGGAAGTTTCTGCCAATAAAAAGCCTGTAATAAGTAAGATACCTTCCTGGTGAATGTCAGTGCTGACAATCTCTGAAATGCTCCAGCTCTGTTCCCATAAAACAATAAAGCGTTGCAGCGTTTCCCTCCACTCTGCACTCAGGATCCTTCTACAGACTTGATGAGGCTTAGATAACAGATCCGATAAATCCATTAGTTTCCGGAGTCTGTTACTGCCCGTGCACAAATTGGCACAGACTTGATGACTCGACACTTAGGTTTGCCATTCAGCGCATCCTTAGTTTCATAATTTGAGATTCTGGCGAGGACCAGCAGACAGTTGGGAATGTGTCCGAGCCAAAAACCGTCTCCTGTCCCTCCTGGCGTTTGGCCAGAAACCTCAGTGGTACAATTGGTCAGCAAGGTTGCGGCGGGACCTTTGAGCGTCCCCTGGTTTCCTTCCATTGTTTCAAACGTGATGCATGTGGCTTCTGGAATCAGAGAGAGGGTGAATTTCACTCTGGCCAGAAAAATGATCTCTTCCTTCCCTTAAACACGCACATGCTCACAGTTAAAGGGGTGTCCTAATGGTAAGTCCTTCAGGGATTGTGCCAGCACATTCTCTCTGTGTGTTTCGTACCTGTAGCAGTTGGCGGAGGCGGCATTCATGGGAACTGCCATTATTTCCAGCTTGTATTTTAATTCAAGCTGAGTTCCAAAGCGGGTTAGTGCTTCTCGATGCTCTACAAGACACCGCTGTTCTTCTGGGTGTTGAGCTTAGATCAAGTCCTCCCTCTCTTTTGGACACTGGAGGACTGTGTCAATTACTTGTCTCATTGCTGTGACAAAACGCCCGGCAATGAGCAGCTCAAGGAAGGAAGGGTTCGCTTTGGCTCAAGTCCCAGGGCACAGTCCATGGTGGCAGGAAGTCGCGGCAGCAGCAGCTCAAGGCAGATGGTCACACCGCGTCCGCAGGCAGGAAGCAGAGGGCGGGGAGCTAACGCTCCTCTCCTTCTCTCCTTTTTAGTTAGTCTGGCACTTAGGACATCTTCCCACCTCAGTTAACCCAATCTACAAACTCCATCCCAGGCATTCCCAGAGATCTGTCTCCACGGTGATCCTACATCCTGTCAAATCGACAATCAATACAAACCGTGTAACCCTAACCCTCACCACGGGAAGGGGCCCGGGCTCACACAGCCGTTTGCAGATGAAGTAGATGGCAGGCATCCAGACCACTGACCTTTTCTGGGAGCAGAGCTGTTTTGGAATATAAAGCTATAGCACTGGCTGACAGCAGGCTTTCTTTTCCTTTCTCTCTCTCTCTCTCTCTCTCTCTCTCTCTCTCTCTCTCTCTCTCTCTCAAAGGCCTGCTCAGTAGGTGGAGACAGGGATGGTGGGGAAATCAGCAAGAAATTGTGCCTAAATGACTTTCTGTGTGGCCCTTACACTTCTGATAGCTGCTTCCAGGAATAGCTAATTCCCTATGTGTTCTAGGTGACTTCATTTGTCTCTTCCCTTATGCCAGGCCAGTCACTTCTGTCTGCTCCCAATCACCTTTCCTCGAGCCACCATCTATCCGGCAGTACCATCGTGTGTCGAATCCTTATTACAGTCACCTCACAATCCCACTTTCGGGGAGATGTCCAGGCTAACAGACGAGCTTCACAGTGGCACTCTTCAAGCTGCAGAGGCAGGCATTGGGATTGCTAGCTGCTCAGAAAAGTACAGTGTGGCATGCCCTCTGACCATGATGAAGTGTGTGTGAGGCCCAGCTCTGCTCTGTGATCTCAGGCTCAGTCGGGAGTCCGCTCACTCTAAGTCTGTGACTTAGTTTGGGGCTGTACAGGACTAGGCATCTTACTCATGAAGTAACCTTGCTATGTATCAGGGAATATTTAACCAGACCCCCCAAGTATGTCTGAAGGTAGGCTTTCAAAGAGGAAGAATGAGCTATTTATTTATCTAGGTAGCATGGGATCTGGTTTCAACAAAGACCCATTCATAAGCTCATTGATACACTTGTCAAGTTTTCAGTGAACAACTTCTGCATGTTGGGTTCTCCTTAGGTGCTAAGATCACACTGATAGAATTGAGAAAAGCTTTCAGGCCCTCATTTTATTTTAGCAGTTCCAATATTTTCCTTAGATATCCTGAATCCCTATATAATATTTTTAAATTATAGCGGTGCCTTGTAATGAGAATAGGTTTTACATTTTGTTTGTTTTTTTTCTTCCCATCTCCATTATATCCCCCGCCCCATGAAACTAATGGTATGTAAGCCTGTAATTGTAATTCTCAGGATTTTTCTACCTGACGTTCTACTTTCTTCATTTACCCTTATAGACTTAGACAAAGAAGGACCTCAGATTATCACCTGGTTTGATAGTCTTAAGAGAGGCTGGAGAGATGGCTCAGTGGTTAAGAGCACTGACTGCCCTTCCAGAGGTCCTGAGTTCAATTCCCAGCAACCACTTGGTGGCTCACGACCATCTATAGTGGGATCTAATGCCCTCCTTTGGTATACATTCAGATAGAGCGCCCATACACATAAAATAAATAAGTAAACCTTTAATAACAGAAAAAAGAGCATAAGGATTAAGGAGTACACTTGATGTATGTACTATTTTTTCCCCTTCAAAGAGGTCTCCCCGTGTCATCTGTGCTGACTGGTTATGGTCTAGCTTCCCACTGACTCTTTACGCCCTTTGGAATTAGACATAATCGTTTTGTAAGAAAACAAGCATGAGTCCACAACTCAGGAAACTGCTAAACAAGCCCAGTTGCAAAGCCCCACACCGAAGAGCCTTTCTCTTATCGGCCCCCCCCACTTCTTTCCATCATTTTAGAGAAAATCTCTCTGGGTAGGCCAAGCATCTTACTCCCACCTTCCTGCTTCAGCTTCTGGGTACTGAAAGTACATGTGTGTGCCCTCTATGTCTGCCCCTGACACCCCGGCGTTCTGATCTTGTGGGGCTTGGATGGAAACCTGGAGTCTGCTTTTTCCAAATGAAATGCTAAAGAAAGGCAGCCATCTTGATGATGTAGATGGGTTTCTTTAGAAGGTTCTCAATGTTCTAGACCATGGGGACATTACCGGACTACTTACCCTGCACCTAGTCCTAAGGCGTGGACTGCCTGTTTGTTAAGCTTTCATACCAAAGGTTACCTCATGCTGCTTTTTATATTCTGATAGTAATCGGGGTTTATGTGCCGTGTATGCCTGCTGCATGATGAAGCTATTTAAGCTTTTCTAAACAGAATCCTTCTAATGTCTCCACAGGCAATGGTGGCTTGCTATCCAGGAAATGGAACAGGTTATGTCCGCCATGTGGATAACCCCAATGGTGATGGCCGCTGCATCACCTGTATCTACTACCTGAATAAGAATTGGGATGCCAAGGTACTGTGAAATCATGGGGGAGCGGTGGGAGTGGGTTATATATGCCATAAAAAGTACAGATATGGGTGCCCTGAGAGGAGCTAGCCATTTTCAGCTAGGTAAACCATGCAGGAGAGTTATAGTTTCTAATAGTCTGTCTCCACTTTTATTTTCTTACCTTCCCTCCACTTGTGGAGTTAGTACCAAAGTTGATGAGGTTAAGGACAGTGGCTATAAAGTTAATTTGGTAGGGTGATTGTGAAGGTCAGGGGTTAATGAGGGAGGTAATTTAACATTGGAATACAGAGCTGATGTCTCAACTCAGCATTTAATGTACACCTTCCCTGCTCCCCAGCAGCGACATTGAGAGAATTCCACAAGAGAACTGTGGGATAGCAAACTGTCCTCGAGAAGGACTTCCCACATCGTCTTCTTTCTCAGGATGGCATGTCCCGTAGGGAGCCATTTGTTGTAGCAAGTGTTGTGGCAGAGGTTGTGTGGCTTGTTTTTGTATGGTAGGTGGTAGAGATAGACTGGATAGAGATTGAAGTTCGTGTGACATGGTTTGTCCCTTATGTGCTCTCTTAAAGTCGAGAGTGACTTAGGAGTGTGGGAAACCAGAGAACTCTAGAAGTTTGTTTAGCTTTTGAATTCTGTGCATCTCTGTTTGCTGTTCATCAGTGCAGGCTCTGACTGTGGTAATGTACATAACATTGTGTCTCTCCTCTCTGTTTGGTAATAAGACTGGAGCATTTCCTTTAGGGCTTAAAAGTATCTTTTGGGATGCTATGGTGAGCAGAGTTATTGGACCAACAATAATAAACAAGGAAGAACAAAACCAACAAATATTTGAGTTTCTGCCAGAGCCAGATGTGTGTTATGTAGAAACAATGATGTGTGAAGCCTGATTTCCACACAGAAGATGATTGTTCCAGTAGGACAAGTAGATTGTACATGTGAAAAAGAAAAAGGCGGCGAAGACAGTGATAGATGTCCTAAAAGGTGCAGGCAGTGTGGTGTGAGAGCTCTCGGAAGGGTCCAGCCAGAGCGGTCAGATGAGCATTTGAAGAACTCAGAGGAATGCTCTAAGTTGTTATTGCAGGGGCAGCTGTGTGTGATGAGTGCTTAGAGAGTATTTGATGGAGCTAGGAAATTGCTTAGGATTCGTCTGCTTGCTCTTTTGGGTTGAAGCATTCTTTTTTTTTTTTTTTAAAGAGTTATTTATTTATTACATATACAGTGTTCGGCCAGAAGAGGGCACCAGAATGAATTGTAGATGGTTGTGAGCCACCCTGTGGTTGCTGGGAATTGAACTCAGGACCTCTGGAAGAGCAGTCAGTGCTCTTAACCTCTGAGCCACCTCTCCAGCCCCGGCTGAAGCATTCTTACATGAACAGTTTTGTATGACACCCTTTGACTGTCTGTTATTTTGTGTCTGTGGCCTTCATGGCTGTGGGGGTGGGAAGACGCTGATCTGAGGTGGATGAGGAGAGCTGTATATAGCTAAGCCGTATTAACTTGGTGTAAGTTTAACTACAAAGTATAAGGGGAGTAAATATTTGGGGGGTAAAACCCACTTAAAGCTGAGGTAAAGGTGGCATTTCTCTTTGGTAGAACTAACACATCCTTGCTGATAAACTTTATGTGAGATCAGGAAATAACTCTTCCTCTTCTTGGCCTTCAGTTACATGGAGGGGTTCTGCGGATATTTCCAGAAGGGAAATCTTTCGTAGCAGACGTGGAACCCATTTTTGACAGACTTCTGTTCTTCTGGTCAGACCGCAGGAACCCGCATGAAGTTCAACCCTCCTATGCTACCAGGTAAGAGCCGGGGCCACAGTTCCTCTTCCAGAACATGTATGGGATCCTAGTTCCCGGAGAACTCTTAGAACTCGCGTCCTATACTAGGCAGTGCTGGTCCTACCCCAAAACTGATAGGTAAGCCTGTTTTGAATGATAGATACTGAAGGGGCTCCTGAGAATTCAGTAATACACAACCGTAACTTCAGTTTAAAGTAACTATTAACTTTATGAGTTGTGCATACTGCTCTCACTCAGTTCCTTAGAATGCTTCTCCCTTTCCTCTGCCCCTTCCTCCTTCCCCTTATGGCTAAAGTTTCTTGTACACACTCCTGTTTCACCAGCAGTCAGAGGTGTAAGCGGGAGGATTGAGAGTTCAGGACAATGTGAGCTAAATGAGACCTAGGCCCAGAAGTGCCAAGGAGAAAACAGTAGCACCAAAAACCAGTGCTGAACTAGCCCTGATTGTCACGTATCAAAAGTTCTGCTCCTTCAAGTGAATTTACAGTTTGTCAGTTTAAGCAAGGAAAGAACCTTGGGAAAGGAAAGAATAATTTGTTCTGAATTCATTTCCTTTCCGCTCTCTGTTTGCCCGGGCTAACCTTATCGGTGCCATAACAATTGGATGTTATAGTTTTCTTGCTCTGTCTGTCCATCCATTCATTTTCGAGACAAGATCTCACGCCAGGCTCGCCTGGAACTCACCATGTAGCAGAGGATGACGCTGAGTTTCTGGGCCTCCTGCTTTGCCTCCTGAGTGCTGAGATGAGAGGCGTGTGTGGTGCACACGGTTTTTGAGATGCTAGGGCACTATGCACACTATGCAAACACTCTATCAGCTGAGCTACATCCCCAGACCTACAGGTGAATGATTTTAAGTCCTTTTCCCTTCCTTCCTTCCTTCCTCCCTTCCTTCCTTCCTTCCTTCCTTCCTTCCTTCCTTCCTTCCTTCCTTCCTTTTCTCCTTCCCCTCCTCCCTCCCTCCTTCCCTCCTTCCTTTCTCCTCCTCCCCTTCTCCTTCTTAACGCATAGACATACAGATTTTCAGAGTCACTGAACACTTTAAAATCCTCTAATCTTAATCTAGAAAGCTCTGATAGAAATATTTATGTAGCCTGGCGGTGGTGGCTCACGTCTTTAATCCCAGCACTCGGGAGGCAGAGTCAGATGGATCTCTGTGAGTTTGAGACCAACCTGGTCTACAAGAGCTAGTTCCAGGACAGCCTTCAAAGCCACGCACAGAGAAACCCTGTCTCAACCCCCCTCCCCCCCAAAAAAAGAAAGGAAGGAAGAAGGAAGAGAGTTTATGTGTTTCTGCCTCCAATTCTCCCTTATCTCCCAGCAAGTGCTGTGGGCCAGGCAGAGTGTGGAGTGACGTAGGACGGGGCTTGTGCTGGGAGTAGCAGTGAGGTAGGGAGAGCTGTTGCTAAACCTTAACAAACTTAACTCAGAGCCGTATACACTGCCTCTAGACATCTCCGATCCGAGCCCCAGAGATACTGTAACATGCTTTTCACACACAGGCCACCCGTTCTTACTGCTGAAGCTACTTGTGGCTTGTTTGGTGGAGTTCAATAACTGAACCCTGTTTTGTGGCAGGACTCTCTTATTATTCACCACTGTGACCAGCTTCATAGAGAAAATATCAGTAAAAGTGATTTAGAAGTCTTGGGTTTTTACTGGGAATCTTAATGAAAATTACTGTGGCTGATAATAAATATAAATGTAAAAGTTTTAAAATGCGGGCGTGATGGCTTCAGTTGCAGTCTGTGCCTTGGATAGGATAAAGCAAGGAGGGTGCGGAGCGCGAGGGCATCAGTAGTGAACTGTTATCTTTTCACCGGCGTCCACAGCTAAAGAGAGCGGGCCTTGAGCTGGGTTCTGTGACGTGTGAAAGCTCCACTCAAATGCTACCTCCCCTGCGCTGATCCCTTCCTGTATCTTGAGGCTCTACTCTTTAGCAGTGCGGGTCTCCTCCAGTCCTTCCCATGCAGGTTTTCCCATTCCATCCTTCCCCGTACAATCACCCACCGGAGCCCGAGACAGCATCTTTGAATTCCCAGTGCCTGGAGCAGGTGTTATATGGCATTTATACAGCACTGAACCCGAAACCAATGATTTTAAGTTAAAATAGGAGTGGACTTCCGATAAGAGATGGTTTTACAAGTAATTTTAGTGTGAACTTGACAGAGTAAGTTTGAAGGCTTTGGTGTTCTCTAGTAACACGGGCTTGCCTTTTGCAGGTACGCTATGACTGTCTGGTACTTCGATGCTGAAGAAAGGGCAGAAGCCAAAAAGAAATTCAGGAATTTAACTAGTATGTGTCTGATCGTTTTCTATGACTTTAGCTTTTTTTTTGTATTTTACAATACACTGTTTAATCTCAGTTGTAACTTAGTTTTATATATAGTGATATCTGAAACAGCCTTCATGCTCTTAAAAAAAAAATCAGAAGGAAATGCAAAGGGCATTCCCCTCAGGATGCTTACCAGTTGTGTGGTGATTTGCAGGAGATGGAAATAACTTATTGTGAATGTTAACCAGCCATGTGCAATATAAAACTTTGTCCATGAATTTGGCATTTATACAGAAAATATAGTGGCTCCTGGTTCCAGTAGCTAATTTACATTAATGTGGGATTTGACTCAGTATAAAATATAAGTATACATAAAAGTGGGTTCTTGCCAAACTAATATGACAACATCATACCTGTCACCTCCAACTATTATTTATAAACCACACTTTACAGAGTTGGTTGCATTAAGCTGAGCATGGGGAACCAGCATTTTAGAGGCTCAAGCAAGGGAATCATGAGTTTGGGGTCAGCCTGATTTCTTGTACTAAGACCTCCTCCATGTCCTGCCTTCCCCCAAAAGCTGTACAAAAGTAGTAATTTTGCCAGGTTGGTTTATGGAAAGGTAACATCCTGGCACTCCAAATGCAGGAAATGCTGTGTCTGTATCCTTTCTAGTGAATGCACACCTAAGACATCTTCCAGTAAGAACTGGAGAGGTAGCTCAGAGGGAGAGCACCTGTCAACACATGGAATGTTCTGGGTACAGTTTGATGCACTGTCAAATACATGTATGTTTGCATAAAGAAATGGGTGTAACTTACCTCCTTCAAGACCTGTTTGACCTATACCTATCAAATGTCGAGGAAGACACCTTTGCAAAGTTCTGTCAGGAATCTCAATTTGCTTTATAAAATAGGATGTTGTTTAATAGAGGAGGGAGGGAGAGAGAGAGAGAGAGAGAGAGAGAGAGAGAGAGAGAGAGAGAGAGAGAGAGTGAGAGAGAGAGAGAGACAGACTTGGTGACGTATTCATCATATTTGACTCCTAACCTCTTTTTTTCTTTTTTTCTTTCCTTTCTTTCCTGTCACCAACACAGGAAAAACTGAAGACTGACTGTGGTGTGAAATCCGCTGGCCTCGTTCATTTAGTAGTGGTTCCTGAGATTTTAAAAGTCAAGAGCCAAAGAGTCTGTAAAATCCCCCCACTGCCTCCATCACTCACATCCCTGTCTTGTTTGTGGTACTTCATGTTTTCTTGCCAGGACTGTGTTGACTTTCAGATACTTTCTTTGCCAGATGAACTCATTAGCTAACTCTAGAAATACCTGCCGACATCTTTATTGGCCAGCGGTTTAACTGATAGATTTGGGGATATGGCTGTTGAGACAGGAGCCCAGGAGTGACTCTTATTTGCACTTTATATATACTTCCTGATTTGAAAGGAGGAGGTTTGCAAAATGCATTGGTGACGTATGCCACAAAGAGGCACCCTTGAAACCTTAGCAGCAAGAAGCGGAGATACATATCATCTCAACAATTTCCAGATGTTAACCTGAGACTGGACAGTTACGACAACCTAATGACGTTATTACCTCTAGAAAGAGCTGCTGTCATCGTGATCAATTTGTAAATGTCCTATGGTGGACACTCCTTTTTCCTGGCCCCTAACCTGAACTTTGTAAATCAGTGACTTTCTTGTTGAAGATGACACCACCATTACTCTCTATTTTCACTTCTTACTTGGAGAACCTAATTATACAGAGAATAAAACTGGCCGTGTAGTTTGGGTTGTTTTTCTGGCATTGAAATTGGAAATTAAATCAAAGGACAGAAATCTTGCAGGTGATTCAGCGTTAGTGTCTGCTCACTGTGTGGGCGGAGCAAACCCTAGTGCTACACATCACCCGTGTGCGCCGTGAACAGGTGGAGAGGGGAGATGTGGTGATCGGCAGCACAGGCAATCCCTTTCCTGGGTGTTCCTCTTAATCGTTCAGTATTAGCAGCAACAAAGAGCAGTGTGCTGTCTTCTTGAAAGGGATTGGAAATAAAAAGATCTCAAAGCTGTTAGAGTTCTGCCATGGTGTCTTCCCCTACCAACTTTCTTTAGCCACCTTGACCCATGAGAGCAACTGGTTGGTAGTGCTGCCAGACGTTTGGGGTTTGCCGAGACTCTAGATGGTTCTACTGCTTCAGGAACCAGCTGCCACTTTTTCCAGAACTCTGCAGTTGGCACCTATTTTGAAAAAGTTATCCATCCTAGTTTTTGCTTCTACCTCCCTGTCTTTCAAACGGCTTTAATTTCTTGCTAAGATCCCACAAGCACCGCAGACCCGGAAATGTTTTGTTTCATTGTATTCAGATGTACAGACTTTCCAAGAAAGAATTGGTATTTTTTTCTTTAATCATTTGGGAAATGTTCAGAAAGATTGGTCATTCCTTCCCACCATGGCTCTGTTTTATTTATTTAGTAGTTTCCACCTTCTAACTTACAATGTCATTTCCTTATTTATTATGTTTATTGTCTTGTAGCCTACGGTGTCTAGAGTGTTGAGTACAATGAAGACAGGGACTTTGCACATCTTTGATCAGTGCAGCATATTCCCAGCACCTAACCCAATGCCTGGCATATAGCAAGGGCTTAGTAAAAATGTGTTCAATAAACTCAGTCTCCTCTAGAATGGCTTGATTCATTTCTTTGTCTTTGGCAAGAAAGGCTTGTTGGGTTTTATATCTTTGTTTCTAGCATTAGGCTGCATTTCTTTCTTTATTGGATCTAGGACAATGGTTCTCAACTTGTGGATCATGACCCCTGGGGGGGTGGGGTGCCAAACTACCATTTCACATTGGGGGCATATCAGATATTTATGCTATAATTCATAACAGTAGCAAAATTAGCCATGAAGGAGCAGTGAAAATAATTTTATGGTTGGGGGGGTCTCCACAACACAAGGAAATGCATTAAAGGGTCACAGGAAGGTTGAGAACCACTAGTCTAGGGCCTCATACTGCCTGGGAGCATTCTTCCCCTGAGTTGTACCATCCCCACCCCCCCCACCCCCGTCGTTGCTATAAAGTTAGGCTGACAGCTTTAGAGAGGCTCTGGTCACAGTGTCATTTCTTAACCTGTTTACCAGTGAGTAGGTCATTCACAGGTGCCATGTCCCAAACAGCTGAGACTTGATATGACGGGGATGGGAAAGAGAATGAAAACAGGACAGACGGATGGATGGACAGACAGACAGGGATCAGGTGGGCAGTGCCTGCCCAGATGGATCAGTACCTCCTACACCACAGTGGAACCTTACTATGTACAGTACTGGAGGAGTTAGCTGGTCTCGGGAGCTCTCTCGAGTGGAGCTGTCTGAGGTTGCAGTCGTCTGAGAAGAAACAGCTGCACACACACCCTCGGCATTAGTGCTCTGGCGCCTTCCTGAGCCTCACCCACACAGGGCAGGCTTTGCCATCCTGTGGGCCGAGGTGTTGGATCCTCGACATGGCCATGCCCATGTCAACAATAGCCCGTACCTCGGGACTTCATCTGCTCTATAGGCATGTACCCGGGGCTGCCCCCAGCACACCCCCACCACACCCTGCTGGTACAGTCGTGTTTCCTTTAATGGCTGTGAAATGATTGAGAGTATCAGAAAATACCTTCATACACAGCCACCTAGATGCCCCTCAACCTAACAGGGGATAGAGAAAATGTGGCCCATTTACACAATGGAGTATTACTCAGCAGAAAAAAACAATGGAATCTTGAAATTCGCAGGTAAATGGATAGCGCTGGAAGAAACCATCCTGAGTGAGGTAACCCAGTCACAAAAAGACAAACATGGTATGTACTCACTCATATATGGATTTTAGACATGGATCAGGAGAGTGCTAGTCTGCACTTCCACTGACAGAGAGTCTGGGAAACAGGAAAGAACCTAAAAGATATGCATGGTACCCAAGAGAAGAGAAATGAGGCAAGATCCTCTGAACAGATGGGGAACACGGCGAGGGGTGGGGGGGAAGCGGGGACCTGGGAAATAGGGGGAGAAGAGGAAGAGAGAGTAGGACTTGGAGGAACAGGAAGGTTGACTGGGGGGGGAGGTAGGATAGGGGGAAGAGGGAATCATAGGTTAGAAGACAGATCAGGCACCATTGTGACCTCTAGTGATCTAAACGGATGACACCAATTGGCAAGCTAAGCAATAGTGGAGAGATCACCTCGAATGCCTATTCCTGATAGTGAACTTGATGTCTATAACCATCCTGGAGCCTTCATCCAGTGACTGATGGAAGCAGAGGCAAACACACAATTAAATACTGAACAGAACCCAAGGAACCCAGTGACAGAGAGAGAGGAGCGATGAGCAAATTGGCAAAGAATGGGCTGGCAAAACCAACAGAGACAGCTGATCTGAACAGGGGAGAGCTCTTGGACCCCAGACCGACAGCTGGGAGGCCAGCATGGGACTGATCCAGACCCCCTGAATGTGAGAGTCAGTGAGGAGGCCTGGGTAACCTATGGGGCACTGAGCAGTGGATCAGTGTCTATCCCTCGAATACTAACAGACATCGTGTGTCCATAACACAAAGATGAATGCTCTCTCAGCCTGGACTCTTAGGGGAGTGTCTGGACCCTGCCCTGAGTGAAATGACAGACTCTAGATATCCCCTATGTGGAAGGAATTGGCAATAGGGTGGGAGGATGGGGGGGGGGGGATGAGGGGTGTGGGAGGAGGGGAGGGAGAGGGAACTGGAATTGACATGTAAAACAAGCTATTTAAAATTAAAATAAAAATAAATAATGTTTAAATGTCAAAAAAATTCAGTGGTGGAGGAAGGTAGACAGGCTATGTGTCAAGCATTTAAGATTCTGTAAAATTGCGAAAGCCTTTTCAGGATTACTCGCCTCTTAGAACCATAGTGACAGTATTCTGAAGCAAAGTGACACATACCATCTCGTCTCACTCTATGAACTGCTGGCCGTCCTGCCTACACCCCCACCCCAAGAGCACTTAAACTGATGATCGTCATGTCCTCTCCTTTGCCAGATACCTTTCTACTTCCTGCTTTGAGCTCCTGCCTACTGTCCAGCCAAACTCGAAAGACTAGGGGGAACCAGCTCTAGCTTGTGCTATGAGGTGTGAGCATGGATCCCCCTAGATCCCTGCTGAAACCTCAACCCCAATGTACTAAGAGGCAGGGCATCTAGGTGATAAGGCCTTGGGGTTCACAGTACAGCCTTTAGGTGAGGGTTCAGTGCTTCCCTGGGCATTCGAGGGCAACAGAGTGCGTGATGCAGAGACCGCAGCCTCCCACCCCTCAGCTCTTGGCACCTTAGCCTCAGCTATCCAAGGTCCTTTAGTACAAGAAGTCACTTTCTGTCTCTGGTTCATAAAGGACTCAAAACAAGGTATGCTGTTAGAGAACAAGAAGAGAGGGCTCTATCTCCAGTGGCCACAGGAAGAATGCCTCTTGTATCTGTGGGTCTCTGGACTCAGATTTTCCTTGATCCTTTTGAATGCATCAACACTGTCTTTAGGAATCCTGATGAGGGTCTCAGGGAAGCTGGGATACATTTGCCTCCCTCTGAGGCTCATAGATGTTTACCACACGCTCAAGATACCTTGGAAACAGTATTCTGTTAGATACCCACACTATGAGAGAGGCCTCCATCCTTTAAAACTCACAGTTTAAAGCAAAAGGATTTGAATACCCTTGAGTGTAGAGATGATATAGTCTGTAAAAGCCATATGTCACAGATTTTAGGGTCCAAGTCTTAAGGCCATTGAAACACCCCATGTTTACTTCCTAGGAAGTGCCGGTGTCTATCACCCACGGCAGTACAAAGCTTCCAGACACTTATCACTGTTATGGTTGCTTTCGTTATTATAAAGTGGATAAGGTCTTTGTTATGGAGTGAATATGAGATGTCCTGCATTGTCTCATGAACCTTTGCTCCCTGTGCTGGATAGTTTGATGTCCAACTTGACACAAGCTAGAGTAGTCATCTGAGAGAAGGAACCTCAATTAAAATAAAAATTGCCTCCATAAGATGATGCTATGGGCAGGCACGTAGGGCATTGTCTTAATTAGCGATCAACGGGGGAGGCCCCAGCCTATTGAGGGTTTGGCCTGCCACCTCTAGGCTGGTGGTCCTGGGTGCTGTAATATAAGAAAGTAGACTGGACAGGCCAGCAAGCAGCATCCTCCTCTGCTTCAGTGCCTACCTCCGGGTCTCTCCCTGTTTGAGTTCCTGTCCTTCTCTCAGGAATGGACTGTTACCCAGAATGTGATAGAAATAGACCCTTACTCCCCACGTTGCTTTTGATCATGGTGTTTTACAACAGCAATAGAGCCCTAATTCAGACTGTCTGCTTAGGCAACAGTTTTGGGAAGTTGGGGACCCCTTGGATGTGGGGCCTAGCCAGAGGTGTTTGGTCCTTGGGAAGCACAGGGAATTGTCAATACAGCGAAAGCAGTTCTCACGCCCCTGCCGAGCCCACCACCGGGTCTTCTCCATCTTCTGAAAGCCCGGGCCCAACTCCACCCTTCTTACTGGCTTCTTGTCCAGGGCTAGAGAACAGCTGTGAGAAAAGAACTAGGAAGTCATGGGTTGACACCAGCTGTGAAAGCTAGTGACCATGAGTGATGTCATAAGGAGCCATTGTGAGGAGTGACAGCTGTCCACCCATATCAGGCACAGACTTGGGAGCTGGTCCTCACTCTGAGGAGAGGCTGTCAAGAAGCTGGACGCTCCAGTTCTGAGACAGGTGGATTTTGTCAATCT